TCAACTTAAATTTTAGATGTTTTCAATAATCTCAAATTGTTTGTTTATTTCTCGCAAGTATTGTGCCAGTCAAGATCTTTATTCATTCTGTTTGGGATCATTCATGATATTGCTTAGATATAATACCAGATGAAAATATACCTTAGCCTGATCAAAGTAGCAAAGAACATAAGAGAAGAAAGCATACGTTTATATTAATTTTAACTTCAACTCGCAAAATAACATTTACGTAGTGTTGGAAATATCGATCAGGATTTTCAAAGAAACAATATTTATGACATCTCTCTCAAAGTTTGACATTGCTCTCCAAAACCTTTATATGGTGAGCCAAAAAAAAATACAACATTAGTGATGTTAAATATCTTTTTAAATCATAAAAAAACTTGTTCAAAATGGGATTCAAAATTAGGTTTATTTAAACAAGAATTTACTAATTGAACGATTACGGTAAATATTACTGGAGTTTTTTCCCAACACCAAATCGTTGTTTTCAACACCTCGACACGTGTTTCGATCACCAATTGATCATCTTCAAAGAGGAAGATTAAAACTCAAGTTTTAAAACTCAAGTTTCAATTCTACATTACTACTCCAAAGGTTCCAAACAGTGCAGCATAAGTTAATATGAAATGTTTATTCAAAAATGAACAGAGGCGTGCAAGAAAAGTGTATTCAAAAACTTCAGACAATCCACAGGGAACTGTAATAGGGCGATAATTTTCCATTGATGTTGGATCCTTTTTTTTTGAAAATGGGTATAATTTCTCCAGTTGTCAATCATATAAATTTCATTCCAAAATAATGATCAGGGTATGGTTTTCAATTGAGATAAAAAGTAAAAATCGCTTTTAATAAAATCATCAAATGAGTTTTAAAATTCAAGATAAAATTTTTGTTTGTTCAATTATTACTCTTAGCCTGCATAGTCAGTTTTTAGATCTTTGATACCGTTTGAAACAGTCACATAAACTATTCTACTCTACCATTAATAGTTTAGGATGGATATTTTCTCATCTTAATTCCAGAGTAACCTGTACATAGCAATTTCTGCCTTGATTTATCATGTTCATATGTTAAATTCTGCCATTTGTTATGTTAGGTTAGTATCTCTTGTACTGAGTAAAATATGAAAGCATTTATTATTATTATTATTAAGGTGCTCTTTTGAAATATATTGAAGAAACCATTCATTTTCATATTCAATGAAATATGACTTTTCAATAGACCATCCTGTATGGAAGAAAGCCTTCCAGCTGTAGCACTTTTCACGGGTGAAATGTTCATCAATAACGACCAATAAAAACATCTCCACCCCGTTCGATATTGCTTGCTGGCGATATCCTTCAGGTCAAATCAGGATGCAATCCGGATCACCCTGTACGTGAATGCGGGCGAGAAGTGGAAGAATGTTCATTGCAACAGCTGAAAAAGACAGGTGATACCCAATCGCCTTGGCAGATGGTAAAGTCTACTGGCCTACACGAATTCAAAACCACACAAGACCAGGTCTTCTCGAGTAAATATTCGACCTGAAGATAACAACCGCTAGAAATGGAGACTGTCATTAGCAGTTGTTGAGATTTTTATTATAATGATAGGTACTTGAAAGCGGTGGCAAGGCACTTTGGGTGAGAGTATGTGTTGAATTTTATGTAAAAACCTGACAGCTTTGAGCGTTACCATTTTGTTTGTAGTGTGAAATTATGAGAAGATAATATCGTGAATTGCACCCGTATGTTTTTTTTGGTAATAACCAGCCGCTGGAATAGACTCGATGAAAAAATTCATATGAATTATTGTACAACCTACTGACAGATATTCCAATAATGTCTAGTCATACTGAACATTTATGCATTTTCTTATGATGAAAATTTGTAAAAAAGAATACAGATACCAGAATTCAATCACACTGGCATAATGTGAACAGTTAACGGCCAATATTAGGTCGAGTACACAAAATATGGTGACAATAAGAAACAAATTCAATAATATTCTGTTTCAAATTGATATATTTAGAGAATATTTTCATGCCTACCCAATTAGAGATAACCTATCGTAATATAGGATATTTACATAAAATTTAAATTTGAAAAATCTTCTTCTATCAAGTTAATTTGTGTAAAAATTTTAAGACCTAGACAATTCAAAATTCAGATAAAAGGAAGAAGAAAGTGTCATGTGTCACACTGATGCTGATAGGCTCAATGTAATTAAAAGAAGAATACGAATGTTCACACTATTTGAATCACTGCAGTAATGTTTTCTTGGTGTCCAACTGGAGCCGTTAAAATAACCAGACATTTTTACACCAAAGAAACGCCACTGTTTACAATCTTGTCGAGCATTTTGACAAATCATCTTCAGTTTCGCGTTCCTCCACTTCTTCATTCCAAATATTCCGTTGAAATGGTATGAAAAATAAAAACTAAGAACTATCAGTCCACCCTTTCGTAACTGTGTCGTGAGTGTCATACCAAGTTTCATCCAAATAGAAAATTTGTTGTTCAAAAATCAAAATCTGTTTTTCCGTTAATCAGCTGCCGCCCCCATATGAACGACAACTCTCAGAAGTTGAGAAACTTGTGCGAGCTAAGGACTAACGAGGTCTTACCTTTTAACGTGTGATTCCTAACATTGATTATTTGATTCCTATATTTAGTTATTTGTTCTAAGTATTTGTTACGCAATTTCACTATTTTTCTGCTTTCCATAACTGCTTGACGTTTGTTTATTATTTTAAATTTAAATCCTGGTTTTTTTATTCAATTCTGAAGAGTTTTGTCACAGCAGCTCACCTTATAGCTGGAACTATTCAATTTCTTCCTTATGATTTCCGTTGTAGGAATCTCATAAGCTGTAAAAGCCATCAGAGAGCAACACTACGTCGATGATTACCTCGATAGTGTAGATACAATTGGAGAAGCAAAGAAAATATCATCGGATGTGATCGAAGTTCATAGTCAAGGGAGGGTTTGTCATACAAAACTGGTCTAGTAATTCCAAAGATATTTTGAAGTACATACCAGAAGAGCTTCGAAATTCCAGGGAAAAAATATAGACCTAGAAAAGGAGTTGCCTTAACCCACTGCGAGAATTTTAGGACTATTTTGGAACCCAAATCAAAATGTTACCTAGCAAAAATGTAACAAAAAGGAAAGTACTAAAAACAGGCATGTCAATCATCGATCCTTTTGGCTTCTCAAATACTTCTACAATAGTTGCTCGAATTCTTCTTCAGGACATTTGGCGTTCAAAAATTGGATGGGATGTGTTAAAAATATTGAAAATATCTCAACAGTGTCCATTTCTCGTTGTTATGTTTACAATATTTTTGAAGCCGAAGAAATCTAGATTCATATTGGCTTCTTGGTTCCTTCGCCTTTGGGCCAAGAAACACTGCAACATATCTAGGCGCACATGGCAATATACGAGTGGGCTTATGTAAAAACAAATATTGGTACATACAGAAGACCTGTTACCAAACCTGGTCTTCTAGATGTTGCTGAACATGAAGAATAGTGATGAATAAGATTTCATCACTGGGAGGCAGTGTTCCTGCGGAAGTTTAATTTAAAACGTTTGTTATTGTTAATCTTGTTCATTTAATTTTATAGTATATTTGTGTCAATTTTCCTGTTTTACCCTGTATAAAAAACAATTGAGGGTGTGATTTGTAAATAAAAAGTTGTTGACGGTACAAAAAATAATTTTTTCATTCCTTTATATCAAACAAAACCAAAGCCTTGACCAATTCGAAAAGTAAAACCTCAGATACAGTACTTGTCCAATGAGGCCACATTTTAAACAGATAATTTAACGACTCTTCAGCCAATCCTAAAACTCGGTTAGTTAAAATTATCCAATACGAACCGCAAAGTCTACAGTCCACGTGTCGACTTTCTATGTGTTATTTTTTTGGCCACTGAGAGTTACGTAACTTTAAATATGCACAATATAGTTTACTTCGAGTATACTTATCTGTTCAAATCTGTTTAAAATCTGTTTTTCCGTTAACCAGCTGTTGCACCCATACGAACGACAACTCTCAAAAGTCGAAACTTCTGCGGGCTAACGACTAGGTCTTAGCTTTTAACGTGTGATTCCTAGCAAGGGAAATCGCCCTATTACGTACTATAAATTACCTACGAATGTATTATAACTAGATGTAGATTAAGTTTCAACTTCAGTAAAAAACTTGTGCCCAATTATTTTCATACAAGCCGGATTGTTACAAACGGCGCAAAAATTGAGAAGTAAACGTGTCATTGTCAAGTGGCCATATCTATCTGTAGACCATGAGAGAATTCGTGAGATTATTTAGCAAGAAATATCAATGTTGCAGCATCGAATGAAAACTGAAAAACGTGTAGTTGCTCAAAAAACCATGTGAATTTTTTTCAATTAACCGTACAAATGTTGTTCTGAGAATCGTCGGTGTCTCGAAACACATATGGAAAATACCGACGAAAAAGAAGAGACGCCATGCCGTGAGACTCGATTTGAAATGGCATCACATGTTGTTATTCGCGCCTTATGTTTTTTTTATTGTCAACATCTAATTTTTTATTTCTTTCACCAATAACGTGAAATAGAATATTTCTGTACGATATGTCTTTGGAAGAAGGCTGACACCCTTGTTGGGATAACAGATATACTTTAGATTTTTACATTCGTTGAAGGACATAATTTTATGCTAATTCGGTATTCAATACCTGAATTTTTAATCTTTACCGAACGGAGATATTGCGGGTTCTGCTAGCTCAGCATTAAGCTAGCATTTTACGTTTGTATATACATGTTTGTTCAATTTTCAATACCTTTTTTCATTATATTTGTCTATCTATTTTGTTGAATTGAACTTATTCGGTGTTATTATTTGTTCTAATCTACTAATTTCTACCACTACTTTAAAGTTTGCAACTGTTCTAGTGGTAGCCAAAATCTGACCCAGCAGACTATTTTGAGATTTCAGCGGTATTTCTTGCAAATGTCCAACTCACCCATACAAAAATGCTGCTCCAGCAATTCCTCCCCCACATTGCGCCACCATGAAGAGAATAGTTCGTAGTACAGAAATTCTTTTTATCACCCCCATCGCCAGTGAAACTGCTGGGTTGATATGGGCACCTGAAATTAGAAAAAAACATTTTTGCTGGCAACTTAGGTGAAATATGTTTGATCAACATTTGAAATGTTTTTATTAACAAAATTTTATCGCTATATGCCGATGGCCTACGATCTTGATGTACAGTATATCAGATTTGAATAAATTTTGACAGTAGAAATAAACGGGGATAACATAACAACACGGAAAGCCTAATCAGGTCAGGCTGGTAGAACAAACAAACAAGGAGGTAAAGCAGCAAATGAAGATTAGTCGACACACCTGAATCCAGCAACACATCAACTGATCGGAAACCCAAGTGGTCCATAGAGAGACACACTGGTTTGAAAGACAGCTCAAAGAAGCTGCACTCTTATGAACAACATCTTGTGAAATCAGTATACTAATAACAAATCCTTAACCATGAACACTGAATGAAATTTTGTCTTGTTTTTTTTTTAATATTTTAAATTTGTTCGTTCTTGACATTGTATTTATTATTGATAACATTTTTCATAGCTTCGTGAGTTGCTTTTCTTTGTGTTAATGTCGTAAATCTCATTACCATATCAGACAACAAAAATGTTTTCATTTACATATCTATAGATATATGTAAATGAGATTTTAATCAAGAAGGTTTGAATAAAAAATAGTGTTAGATGTAAATTATTCTTGAAAAACGTATTTTTCAATCTCACATATATCGTAATTCCCAACTCTTGTTAATGGAACTCTACTGACGTTTAATGCGATGCGATGAAAATTACCTGTACAAAACTTTCTCTAATAAAAACTATTTATGTCCCATATAGATTTATCAAAATTCTGGAAAATTCTAGTGCATTCGAACCCGTTTAAATACATTCAACAAATTCTCAGAACTTTCTCTAGAGGTCCAGGTCTTCAATTATATTATTTATCGTCTTGCTTCATGATCTCTTGTTGTACCATCTTTATATCTGTTAATGAAACTTTGTTTTGTCCGCACGACGGTACTAATAATAAAAACATCTGCCCTAATCAAATATCGCCGTGTGCGTCAATTAAAAGATGTAATAAGGATTAATTGACTTGAAATTCCTGTGTACAGTTGAGATTAAATTCGTCACAAACGGAATATTAGAAGCAATATCATAAACCGGAATTATGAATTTGTTTATCTGAAGGACCTACTGAATTGTCGAAACACATTATTCCTTATCAGAGTCCTTATCATTAGCTTTGTGCCTTTTGGATATCACTATACGCGTACAATTTTGCCAAGGTGTTTCCTCGGGGCAATAATGAGCTATGCAGGAAAGGGACCTTGAACGATGTATTCGGATCAAAATACCGAAACTACACCCAAAAAGGTTTTCAACTTTGAGACGCGTATGGAAATTGTGTGAATTTTTCCTACGGGGTTGTTTTTCACTTGGACAAAATATATGCTGCATATTTCTCAACAATTTTTAAAAGGGATGTACGAAAATCCCTTTGAAAAAACCCAGGGGAACTTATATCTCATTCTGACAAGAAATTGTTCAACTATTATTTTTTTCTCCAATTTAGGCCTTACGTGTGATAAGGTGTACCTGTAAAGTGAAATTATGATTCAGGAGTACATCATAAACATATCTAATCATAACATATGTACCAACCTTTGGGCAGCGATTATCTAAAAATGAAACTGATAGTTTTTAATAGCGAGTTCAACAGATTTTTTCAACAATTTGGTTAATTATTTGCCAAAACGTTTTATTGAACTTCACTTATTACTACAATTCGAGTAGTACCTATCACTAAAAATATTCAAAAAAGTATGATTTCGTAATAAACATTTGAATGTCCAAAAATAAAAATGCCCATTTTCAGTAATTTATTTCAGTTAATTCAACACTTTTGAAACTTCCAGTATTTGAAAAATAGGCTCTTCATATTTTTTCATTGTGAGAAAATATATACGTTAACTTTGGTTACGCAGTTTTCAAGCATCAAAATGCATTTTCTGCTGTAAAATCTTTCGAATCTTGTCAATGGCTTTCGGACAGGATTTTCATAGAGTCACTTCAAACAGAAATGTGACTCAACATTGCTTTTTTTTAAATATTTGTTTGAAATCTTCATTTCTTCATTCGAAAATCTGGTCTCTTCATTTTTTTCTTCGACGTACGGGTTTCGCATAGAATTTTTTGATTTCCACGATATGGATAATAATAATAATGGCTTTTATTGATGATTCCATACAATTACAACCAATCAAATGGCAGGATTCAATATCTTGGTATGATAAATCATCGCAGAGATAGCTCTTCCATCTTACTACATATATCTTACTATAGTAAGGAGGTACTTAGTGGTTTTGAATTTAGTAGAGAAATTTTGGAAAAAATGTTAATGCCTCTTATTTTTTTGTGGGAAATTCGCCACGACTTTTCATTATATCCCTACGATATCCAACAGATACAGGCTCTACTTCCTCGTAATTTTCCAATACGGATGAATTTTGCCAATGTTTTGCGTTTCTGTTGAAAATTCCTCAGTGCAAATCTGGCACGGACGCCACTGGCAAAAATAGAAAAATATGTTGTTCAGCAAAAATGTCCTTTGATGCATTTAAATACACGTACAAATTGTCTCAAAAATATCTAGAATCATACCAAAATTATCACAAAAACTTTTAGTACCTACCCTGCGTAGGGTAGTTTTTTCTCAAAATGGCAGAAATAACCTCAGGTAAATATTATCATATCATTAAGAATCAGTGTGTATTTGTTTGAATCTCTTTCTGCCCCTCGTTTGAATTGAGTAATTGGATGACTACCTCAGGCACAGTATATAGTATACTGTGCCGGTACACACGGTAGAAGCGGTTTTTTTTATATTTTTCGAGTATGAAAGAGATGAAAATATGCCAATGCCAATTTTTCATATATTGTTTTCTCTTAAATCAATGGGTTCTGTTAGCTTTACCGTTAATCTGGCAGAACCAAGTCGAAATTTGTAATAATTAATTTCAGATTAATTTTCGATTTTAGCTTCCCTCAACATTCAACAATTTTCTGCTCGTCTTTTTAAATATTTGGGAGAATAACCTAAATTCTCATATAAAAGCGAAACTCTGGAAATACTTGTGGACGTAAATGGAAAAAACAATCTTTCTCCGGCTTGCTACTTGTTTTTTTTCAATCAGTGGGTTTTCAAATAAAGAATTTTTACATGAAGTAATGTAGGAGCTCAAATTTATTGCAAATTTAAAAGAGAAAACGGATTTTGATTTGGTTCTGCGAAGTTGTGTCGTAGCCTCAACCAAAGAAAATGTTCAAATGATTTTTACTTTGTTTGGGTTTTGCTAGCTTAACCTTACCGTTAACGTTAAATGAAGAGACAAATAGTATGAAATTGGCGTAAAATTATGGCTTGAAAATAAATGTAAAAATTCATAGTGGTTCTGTTACTTTAACAGGGGTCTATATCCTGTCACGAGACTGTATATATTGTTGGTGCATCCTCACCTGAAATATGCCCAAAACACTGCGTCAGAGAAGTCATAGCAAACCCCGAAGCAAGGGCAGTTGCCAGAAGCAGCGAGGAAACGGAAGATCCACTGCTTGCCCCCGCAGCCGCCCCGCAAACAACAAAAACGTAGATGAAAGATGCCAAACACTCGGAGATGACAGACCGCCAAAATTCCAAAGTCCTTATCTCGACCTGCATCGGTATTTTGCAAGAGTTCATCACCTTAACATGTTCGTTCCGCAACGTTTCTAACTTCTCGAACATCGTCACCAAGTGGTACTCGACATTTTGGTCGCCCAGTACATGTTCCTCTGCCATTTCGACGAAGCGGAGAGTAACAAAAATTCAAACAGGTTATTCGCGCTGAATTTATTTCATTCGCACATGTCCCGATTTCAGAAGGGTCTCGCGCTGCACACTACCACCACCGAATACCGAGCGAAGAGTGGAGGCTGACATCCATTCGAAATGAGACCATGTGGCTATTCTCCCTCTATCAGACGGGCCATCCAACCACATGCTGCATGTGCATCGAGCATCTTTGACGTCATTCACGACACTGCCACTTTTTTGGCCAGAAGTAATCATAATTAGGGAAGCGCAGAAAAGCCACATATTTTTATAATTCGTTTCTTGGAAATCGCGATTTTGAGACTCGAAATTTCGAGATTTTGGTCGAAATTTCGAGATTAAAGTCGACTTTTCGAAATTGAAGTCGAAATTTCGAGTTTAAAGCCATAATTTCCGAAGATGTCATCTAATCGACAGAGAACTCAATCCTCGAATATCAAAGATAAACGAGGCTCTCCAAGACGGTCAGTTGCAAAGCGAAGCTTCGATATCGACTGTCGACGAGATTCGTCCTTTGTCTTTCACTGTAGCTTTCACTGCAAGGCAACTAATTGTAAACATAATCAGAATAATTGTAGAAAGAATATAATTCCCATTGATAAAGTCTGTTGTGCAGTAAATAGATATACAGTTTCGGAAAAAAGTTTTAGAGATTGATCAAAGCTATGTTTCAATTATTATTAATATACAGGGTATCCAAAAAGTGTGTGACAGACCTTTTTTAAATGGAAAACTACAAATATTTTCACTCGTTTGAATTTCTCGGACAGAACGCATGTCAAAAATATATGGTTGTTTGAGTTTATACCGGGTGGTTCAGAAGTTATAGTGAAATTTATGTCAAACAATATTTGATCCAATATCATCATTATATATCGAGTTATGTTTACGGACCTATGTACATGTTAATAATATATACTCCAACAAATAGGTATTTAGTTGAAGGGGATTGAAAAAACATTCTTTTTTTGAAGGCGGTATAAATAGATATTCCTTTGAATTTTACTGTTAACAGACAGATCGCACCCATCAATAAGACCGACTTGGCTTTTTAGGGTTATTCGTGATATTCTTCAGTTTACTTCGAGAGTGGTTACAAATGAAAGCTATTCCTTTTGAATCGACCGTGTTGAAAGCGGAGCTCCTCAACTTGGCTAAACGTCATAAGTCAAAATTCGTCAGGTATGTCACTGATGAGATGGCGAAGACTAAAGGAATGTCGGTTCTTCGGTTGCCGCCTTATCACTGTGAATTGAATCCAATATAGTTGGTTGAGGCTCAAGCTAAAGGATTCATCTCAAGGAATAATAAGACCTTCAAGCTGTGTGAAGTAAAGAAATACCTATACAGCTTGGGAAAAATGTATCCACAAAACAATCAGAATCGAAGCAGAGATGTGGGATCTAGATGATCGCATAGACTCATTATCAGAAAAAAAATTCCAGTTGTCATCAATCCTAATGAAAGTGATTCATCCAGTTAAGAATCACTCAACGAATCCCTGTAGACTTTTTTCAGATTAAAATTATGGCAATGGCATATTCTAAGTAAGTATTCCCATTAAATCTATAAAATTGTTTCTGAATCAATTATAAAATCCAATAAGAAATATGAATCTTCATTTCCAAACCAACAAGAATATGTAAAGTGTATCTCTCAGGGCAGCCACACTTTTCTACTTCCTGAAAAAGTCGAAGCCGAAACGTCGAACAACGCAAAAGTTTGAACGCGGTTCAACTCGAAATCATATGTTCAAATTTCTAACCGCAGAAATATATTCTATTTGTATACTTATCTGGCGATGTTCGTTATCATACCGACGATCAATTTGATATTATCAGTGTCAATGATAATAATAATATCATCAAAAGACGAATCAAAACTACAAATTATAATGTTTTGATTTAAATAGGTTGGATAAAGAAAATGGGCAGAGTCTTTAAAACGTCACCAGATGATACATATTTCTTTTGATATGCAAAATTTTTTAAATTCAAGTTAATGACAAATTTGATTTTCCAAAAAGCTAATTTATCAAATGCAGTAACTTTTTGCCCATTCTACATTTGTATTTATTTGTACATTTAATATTCTGATTATTTTATAGATCTGTAGAACGTAACAATTCTAAATAATAAAAAAATATTTCAAATATAAATTGTTCCTCCCAAAATAAAACATTTCAACAAAATTAGTTTTCACCATATTTTAATTATCTTCTCATCATACAGAATATATCAATGGAAAATTTATATTCACACCCCCAGTCCGATGCCTATTAATATTATCTTAAACGTAATATCAGAAAAAACATCGAGCGGTTCTTTTGGCGGTATTTTCGCATTCTTTGTCGTCGTTTTCGCGTTCTTTATCGCATATCCCTATTTTAATAGCTCGTCAGCGGCGTCCTCAAGGGATATAGAGGGTCGACATATCTCAATGATTTTGTGGGTGAATCGCAGTGCTATTTGCTTGAGACGACTATGTTGCTTTCTTTGATGTAGCGACATGTTTGCATTCTTGAAATTCTTTTACTCTCAGACGAGGCTCGACTCCATATCGAACCGAGCCAAGCTTTACCTCGAGCTCAAATACATCGCCATATGTATTCCATAAAGGATATAGTTATACCCAAGTAAGTATTTAATATGCGGTACCTGTAAAATCTCTAATAAACATGTGTCAGCTTTGAATTGAATTCTTAGTTTTTTGAAAATCTAGGTATCAGCTAAAGAAAATATGACCGTATCATCTGCAAATGTAAATGAGGTACTATCCCTTGTGTATCTTGATGGAACAGACTGTGATTAAGTGAATATTGAAGTGTATAGGGCTAAGGGCAGTGCCCTGGGGAATGCTTGTGTAAAGGTACTGTTTACGTTACCAATTTTCACACATTGCTTTTGGTTTGTTGAATAACTGAGATACACAGTAAAGCCTTATCTCATTTACATATTGCTTCTAACGTTTCTATGAGTTTTTGGTCGCTAACTATATCGAATGCTTCAGCAAGATCTACCAATATAAGTACATAAACAGGGATTACCAGGGATCATGCTCACCAAGCACAATAAACTGAGAGAATTTCATGTCCAAATCAAAGATAACTGGTCCAAACTGTACCACAAGAACAAGAAAGCGATTTTTGTGTGTTCAAGTAGAAGGGATCTCATATACCTACAGACAAAATCTTTCATATTTTGCATATTCAATTCCGGCACATGGAAGCAGAAAATATCCGTATTATGTGAAAACACAAAAATATGAATAGAATTACTGTAAACTGAATTAGCTAAGAAGAAAAAAATGAATAAGTACTTTTAAAGTACTTTTTGCATTAAATATATCTAACACATTATACACTGAACTTTCACTTTAAGAAAGTTGTCACATTGTGAATCAATGAGAGTTTTCATGTATGGCCGTAAAAAGTAAGATAAGACTTTTTCCGCTAAGCAGTTCATTTGTAGGCATCATTGTAAGTTATAGGTATACTTGTAAGTCCCACCGCAGACAAAAAGCTAGGTTAGTTTCATTAAAATTCGATTCAAAGGCTCTAAGCCGCCAAAGTGAAGGGCTTAAATTTAAGTGGGCTCACTGTTAATTTTCGTTACCTAAAATTCATAAGCCGTTTACAAATCAAGCGTGATTGGGATCTAAACCAACAGGCTCAATTCTCTACGCGGCAGAATAAATGGTCTATGGTGCCTTCATTTTGTTGTATCTAAACTATATTCATCTAACAAACAAAGCAACCCAAAGATAGATGTGTGATCAAAGCATGATCACCACGCATCTATTGGGTAAAATTAACAAGCTTCCTTATGCTGGCCAATCAGATTCAACTGCAATCGGCTGACGGAATTCATACTACAGTGTTGGAGTGATTAGTTACGTTTTAACGCCTGGGTGTGTATATAAACGGTATTTTGAAGTTTAACATTTTTTAAATGTCAAGTACTAATATGGCTGAAGAAACTGCTGATTTCAGTCCCTACACTACACCAAAAAAAAATTCCTATACACAGCCGCATGTTATTAAAAAAAAAATCGGTCGTTCCTTAGTGCTACTCTGTACAAGCAGCCTTGTCTGGGAGATCACGTGGACTATGCATGATAATGTTTTGGAGCACATGTTGCTTAGATGGACAGAGTATAGTAAATTCTGCCTCATTGTAAGTAAACTTGGATGTAATCTGAAACATATAAGATATAAATGTTTATATCTCCGATAAATATGTGCATGTCATTGGAGTTGATGATCGTCGCTACAGATAAGAATATAAAACTTGATTGTATAAGATATGGCACAATGACGGTGAACTATGAAGACAAGGTAATATCAGTACAGTAACGTTGCAATTTGATTTAATAGTAGGTAAAGATCAGTTTGCAAGGAAAGAATGAATCTGATTTAGTAACAACGGAGTACCAGAGTACCAAATTCCACATATATTCACATTTGAGTTCACAGTTCAAATCATTGGGAAGCATTAACATAAACAATCAATTATGTAGTGTACCAACTGCGAGACATAAAACACGCCTTAATCAAGAACCATGATCAGATAGGCTTCATACTGATCAGATGTATTTTTTGTCATACGTATATTATTAGTGGCTAAGTTATCGTGATTCTTGTAAAAATGCGTTCAAGAGCCTCAGCATCTTAACTTAATAACTCACTTCTTGTTTTGAATAAAAGTAAGTATAATGTTAATACTAGATAAAGAAATGTTTATGTCATTATGTTCCATCTGGGAACAGTAAAATATCCTATTTCTCTCCCAATCACATTGCACCTCTGATTTCGTATTGCTCATTGACATAAGGAATTCAGAAATTCTATTCACTTTTACACAAGACCTTAAGGAGTTTCTCATAGAAAATTGTTTTTACAGTTTGGAGGAATGCATATGTATATAGTTTTAAGCTTTTAGTGATAACATTGTGTACTTTTAGCACATACACAAACTGGAAGAAAAAGCCCTTTCGAAACGGCTATTTTCATATTAACCTTGAATTACACGAAAGAAAAATACTTTCGAAACAAATATGAACACTGAATTATACAAAAAACAC